TGTTTTGAATCTGTACCCAGGTTTCCAGTTTCTTGCTCTCTCTCTTCTCCTTCCCGCACCTACATGATGTGAATGTTGCTATGCTTGAAGTTGCCCAGGGGCTCCTTACATTATCCTTATATTTTTGGATTCCGTTTTCTTCTTGCTGTTCTGATCGGTTGTTTTTTACTTCCTTATATTCCAAATTTCTGGTTTGATTCTCAGCTTTATCCACCCTACTGCTCATTCCCTGTAAATTGTTTTTTGTTTCAATTAGTGTATCTTTCATTTCTTACTGGATTTTTAAAATGCTGTTGAGGTTCTCACTAAGCTTGTTGAGCATCCTTATGACCGTGTTTTGAACTCTGCATCTAGTAGATTGCTTGTTTCCATTTTTGTTTAGTTATTTTTCTGGAGTTTTGTTCTGTCCTTTTATTTGGGCTATGTTATGTTTCTTTGTCTCCTCATTTTGGCAGCCACCCTGTGTTTGTACTATGTATTAGGCAGAACTGCTACATCTCCCAGGCTTGGTAGAGTGACCTAATGTAGTAGGTATCCTGTAGGATCCAGTGGCACAGCCTCCCCTATTACCCAAGCTGGGTATTCAAGTTGTGCTCACCATGTGGGTTATGTAAACCCTCCTCTTATTAGTTGAGCCTTGATTGCTATTGGCACATCCAAGGTCAGCCACCGATTGTGTTCTGTCCAGGGTCACACAGCATAGGCTACAAAGCAATCTGCAGGTGGCTGCTACTTGTGCTGGGCTTGGAGATGCCCAGGTGAAGCCAAGCTGTGAATCAAGGTTGGCTGCCTCTAGTGCCAGGCCTGGGGCAAGTTAGAAAGAGGTATGGGGCTTGCTGAAGCCAGATGCTGCCTATTTGAGAGAATCTAAGAAAATCTAAAGCAGGAGCCAAAACAGGCCATTCATATGGAAAAGCCACTGGAAGCAGTTTGGGTGGGCCTGAAAGTTGGGTGGTTCAGAGCCTTGGGGGATCACCAGGGTGAGGTAGACAGTATAAGCCAGGTTGATGGAACATAGATATGGCACTTGCCTGCCAGCTCTGTTGCGGGGGAGGGCTCAGGAAAGGAAAAATGGCTTCTGCCAGCACTTCTGTCTGAGAGCACCCAGGCTCATGCTCTGATTCCGGACAATTCAGTTTCTCCCTGTATGCCTCTGGTGCGTTTCAGTCCTCTCCTCATGCAGGACTCACTAGTCTGAGTAAGACTGTGTGTGAGCCCTTTAAAAGGAACTGCCTGGGACTCCAGGAGTTCCTCTCTTCCACAGGTTCCATCCCCACTGGTCTTTATAGCCAGAAATTATGAAGACATATCTTCCCAGCTTTGGAACCCTGGGCTGGGGGGCCTCATGTGGGGCTGGGACCTCTCACTCCTGAGATATCCCTCCTGATTTTTATCTGCCACATGTGGGTGTGGGACCAACTTGTTCCACATCTCTGCCCCTCCTACCAGTCTCGATGTGGTTTCTTTAATTCTATAGTTGTAGGACTTCCATTCAGCTTGATTTCTGATGGTTCTAAATAATGGTTCTTCCATAGTTTAGTCGTAATTTTGATGTGGTTGGCCAGGAGACAAGCCAGTTTACCTATACTGCCATCTTGACCCTGTAACCTTTTCTGAATGTTGGGGAAGCTAATGTGTTATATGCACTGCAACTTATATTTTGTATTTTTTAAAAGTGTTATTTATTTAACCATATGAAAGTTTTTAATTAATTTAATTGTGTTAAATCAATCTTTCCTTTTTGGCTCCTAGCTTTGTATTGTGGTTTAGAAAGGGCTTTTCCACTCAAAGATTTGTTAAAACATTCACTTGTGTTTTCTTCTAGTAAAATTCTGCTTCCTTTTTTTACATTTAAATTCTTTGGCCCATCTTGAATTTATTTTGGTACAAGTAATTTTTGCATCTGACATCATTTATTGAATAGTCTTTTCCTTAGTTATTGGAAATGTCATCATATACTATAAATTCTCATATATACATGAGCCTATTTCTAGGCACCCTGTTCTCTACTTTTTATTCTATTCACTGTGCCAGTATCACACTGTTTAGACACTACTGCTTTAAACTATGTTCAGTCTGGCTGAATGAGAAGAGAAAGTGTCAGGGAGAAAGAGAGGGAGAGAGATATTATCCCCATTCATCACTCACTTTTTAATTTTTCTGGCTATTTTCCCTAATGTTCCAGATGAACTTTGGCCTTATTGTTAGATGTGTACATACATTGGGAACATTCTTCCTCCATGACAGTATGGAGAAAAAGAGTCAGCCAAATCCATGGGAGATTGGTCCATGGGAGCCGTGCCCAAGCACCCTGCAATTTCACTAGCAAGGCCTAGGAGGGTCTGCAGAACTACGGCAGATGATCTCTGAGAATTTGTGGAGCTGGGAGCTAAGAGGAGGTCCATCTGGGACCTGGGGCTCAGGGCTAACCTGTCTTCTCCCCCATTCCTAGGGTATGAGGGACAGAATTTGGGGAAGATCCTCAAGGATTTAGAGACGAGTAAGGTGGTATATATGGATCGATGGTCTGTGGAGGTGATACCCCAACAAACTGAAGAAAAGAGTGATCCAGTCCCTTTTCAAATCATCAATAACTACTTCTCCATTGGTGTGGTCAGTGGAGTGGGTGTGGGGAAAGGGAGGAAGTGGGGGTTAAGCAGGTACAGGCTGGAAGAGGGCAGACTGGGAAAGAAGAGGTTAAGGGAGCTGTGACACAGGAAAATTTGGGGTGAGGTCCAGTGATGTGAGTTAAAAGAAAAGAACATGAGACATACTGTTCCCAAATGGGGGAGTTAAAGAAAGTACTGTGCTGAGAGGAGGCAGGCCTCTGATCTTACATTCCCTAAACTCCCCAGGATGCCTCTATTGCTCACCGATTCCACATGATGCGAGAGAAATATCCTGAGAAGTTCAACAGCAGGTGAGGGAAAGTGGAGGTGGGTATACACGGTGGCAGGGACTAGGTTGTGGCCAAGTGTGACCAGAGCACTCAGATGGGCAGTGACACCTCTAGGAAACCCCTCAACCTAAAGTTTTGAGCGTAGGACTGGAGTCAGGAGGTTGAGGCCCTTCCGTCACTTAGCCTACCTCTGCCAACTGTGTAACTTGTCCCCTTCCTACTGGGCCTTGCGCCGGGACTGATACAGAATGAAGAACAAGCTATGGTATTTCGAATTTGCCACATCTGAATCCATCTTCTCAACATGCAAGAAGCTGGAGGAGTCTTTGACAGTTGAGGTGGGTATGATGAATCCTAACTCTATATCCTTTTCAGCTTGTTAAATCTTAGTGTCTCCGTCTGAAGATGCCCTCAAGAACTTCACAGGTTCTTGAACCTTTACTTTGACCTCCCCACTCTCCAATTTTGAGTTCCCAAGTTCTCAAGATATACCAGTCCTTATTGCTCTCCATCCATTGCAAAACTCAAAATCCTGACCTTCCCAATTTGTTATTTGGTGGAGGGAGATGTCATATCCTTGATTATGTCATGAGATAAGGATCTCCTCTCTCCTACCCTCAGATCTGTGGGAAACCGCTGGATCTCAGTACCCTGTCTCTAGAAGGCATTGCAGTGCTGAACATTCCCAGCACACATGGTGGCTCCAATCTCTGGGGTGATACCAAGAGACCCCATGGGGACATCCATGGGATCAACCAGGCCTTAGGCTCTGCAGCTAAAATCATCACCGACCCTGACATCCTGAAAACCAGTGTACCAGGTGAGAGGAGTAGCTTTGGAAGCTGAGTGAGTGAGACTGAGTGTGTGACTCCTTTTGGAGGCACCCTGCTTCTGCAAAACCTGTCTCACTATTTTCCATCCCCAGACCTAAGCGACAAGCGGCTGGAAGTAGTAGGACTGGAGGGTGCAATTGAGATGGGCCAGATCTATACCAAGCTTAAGAATGCTGGGCATCGGCTGGCCAAGTGCTCTGAGATCACCTTTCAGTAAGGAAAACTCTGGCCAGGGGCTCTGAGGGAAAGAGTGGGGCCAAGGGGGTCATGGAGTGGTGGGGAGGGGCTGTTCTAGGAGATCCTCCTCAGTACTAAAGGGCTTGAAAGCCAACCGAAGAAACAGAGTTTTGGTACTCAACTGGTAAAGAAATCTCCACCAATCTGCCTTGGCCTCCCACAGCACGACAAAAACCCTTCCCATGCAAATTGATGGAGAACCCTGGATGCAGACACCCTGTACAGTGAGTATTGCCTATGCCTGCCCCAGACTGAATCCTCGGGCTCCATGGATCCTAATCTCTATTCCAGAGCTTCTTTATTTCCTCCTGATGCCTTAAGTTATCCTGAGTACCATTCCTCTCATATCCTGATTTCTTAGCCCCGGCCTTCCTGCCATGGCTTCTCTAGGACCCTGGCAACCCAACCTAAACCCCACAGATCTTCCTCCGAATCTCTGCTGCTCCAGCCCCAGGGCACCAGGTTCTGCATCTGAACATGCTCCCTTCCCTTCCAGATCAAGATCACTCACAGGAACCAGATGCCCATGCTCATGGGCCCACCGCCCCGCTCCTCCAATTTCTTTGGCTTCTTGTGTTGAGGGGGACACCTCAGCCTCCAAGCCAGCGTCGAACCCACCTCCCTGGACTGTACTCTATAGGCTCTGTATACTGCTGCGATGCCCTCCTGCCAGCTCAGGGGAGGGCTTCTTTACCCTCACAGTATTTATTATCCTGCACCATATCCATTATTCCCTGTGCATAAGCGCACACACACATACACCACAAACACATACACTGAAAGTGCCTCATCTGAATAAAATGACTTTTTCCCCCTATTGGCATATCTGTTAAGTAAGTGGTAGACCTCCTTTCTTTATACCTTTACTCTATAAATGACATAGATTCTCCCAAGGAGAAAAAAAAAGAAAAAGAAAACAGCATCAGGTTCTGAGTATTTATTTCAGGTAATGATAGTCTCCAGGGGGAGACTGGAGAAAAGATAGGCATTGCTGGTCACCCTGGATAAATCGTGGTGTCACATGAGAGTGCTCAGACCTGTCCGCTGAGGAGGGGGCTGCTCTCACCAATGGAGTAAGAGCGGAAGATCCGGGGCAGACGTAGCCAGTGGGTGCTACCGTGTGGCAGCTGCGGAAGGGACACAGTAGAGCCCTGCTTCATAAGTCTGCGCCTGATATTGGGCAAGGAAGGGGGAAACTGGTTAGCAATGGACAAGGGCAGCCTGTCAGTGCTTCACCAAAGGACACACCCATATCCCAGGTTTACTTGGCCTTCATCCTAGCTTGCTTCCCTTTCCCTCACTAACAGAGTTCATCCTCTCTGGTTTCTCTGGTTTCTCTGGTTTCTCTGGTAACCTCTGTTCATTCCCCTCACCCCATGAACTTCCCTGTTGGGAGGACTCCAGACAAGGGGGTCTGCCCTTTTTGCAATTACCCAACATCCTCTACTCTTGGAATAGCCAACAACAGTCATCGATACTATCAATTATCCCATTCTTGCTTTAGAGCTAGGTGCTTTATCTACACTATCTCTAATCCTGACAGGACAACTGTTAATTTTCCTACTTTTCACAGGCTCAGAAAGGTTAAGCTACTTTCCCGAGATCCCACCAGCAAGACTGCAGCCCACGCTTGTTTAACTTCCAAGTCTTTTCCTGGGCTCTTTCCTGGACACCATACTTCCTCAAAAGTAGTGATTTCTTCTCCCCTTGAGGAAGACTGAGTGATGGTAATAAGGCATGAGGGGGTACACTTCGGATGGTGGGGTCCTCACCTGTATGTCAGAAATGCAAGCACCATAGCCATCAACACCAACAAGATGCCCACGAACAGGGGAGCCTGCCCAAGGCCTGCTTCTTGACCTGTGAGTAGAATCCCAGGCCCTGCTTCAGTGTCTGCTCCTTGCCAGAGAGCCTCTGCCCACTCCCTGTCTTCATCCCCACTGTTGGCCAAGTACCTACCAGGCATAACAAGCTGGGTGCTGACCATTGCCAGGCTGTTGGCATCAGCCAAAGACACATTGAGGCAGTAGGTCCCTGAGCCGCCCTTCAGTACCTGGTGTAGAACCAGCTGGCAGGTTGGGCTGGGTGACACAGGCTGGCAAAGCCGCTGGGCAGGGGGCTGGCACCCCGGTGATGATATGTCCATACAGGCTTCCTCAGGCAGCCTGGGAGAGGTGTCACCTTATGTCACGGGGTCTGGGAAGGAACTCTAGATACCAGAGAGCAGGTTAACAGCCCAGGAGTTCTCAGGACCACCAGTGGGACACTCACCCGCCTTGACAAGACACAGTCAGCTCAAATGCATCCCCTTCACTGGAGGGCACAGCCTGCAGGATCTCAGCACTTTCGATACCCTCTGCCAAGTTGTAAGATTTTAGGACTGGGATTCCTCTACCAGGACTCCCCAAAAGCCCATAGACAGGAAATCCCTAAGCTGCTTCCCCAATCCCATCCCCATGTCTTCAAATGAAAAACCTGGGATTTAGGTATCCTTGCCCAGGTGAGTAACTCCTTCCACAGCATGCTTTCACTTGCAGCCTGAGGCAGCACACACCTCCCTCGGCCAGCCCCCACAGCAGGGAAAACTCACGGACAATGTCTAGGGTGAGGGAAAAGGAACCATATCGATACAGAACACAATCCATGGGAACTTGTCTCTTCACCAGGATTAAGGTGGCTGTGCCATCTGACACGGGACTCTGGGAGCCTGGAAGGAGAGGATTGAAGAGGCAAAGTCAATAGACAAATAACTTACTTGGAAACAAGCCAAGCAGGCATGTTTCCAGGTGGAGTAAGAGCTACTGGATCCAGCCTTGAAATCACACAAGACCTGAGACATCTCATTTTATACATAAGAAAATTGAGGCCCTGAAGGAGATATGACTGCCTCAGAGTCACACAGATAGGGATGCCCTGGCTGGTGTTGCTTAGTGGATTGAGTGCTGGCCTGAGAACGGAAAGGTCGGCGGTCTGATTCCCAGTCAGGGCACAGGCCTGGGTTATAGGCCAGGCTCCCCAGCTGGGCGCGTGTGAGAGGCAACCAATGGATGTATCTCTCACGCATTGCTGTTTCTCTCCTCTTCCTTCCTCCCTACCCTTCTTTCTAAAAGGAAATAAGTAAAATCTTAAAAAAAAAATTAATTAAAAAAAAATTTTTAAAAACCACAAATGTTTATCAAACCCTACACTGTGTCAGGTCCTGAGCTAGACACTCAACGTGTGTTAACTCATCTAAGTGTCACTATTTCATCATTCCCTTTCCAGTGCTCCTACCATAATTACAGACTCACTTGCTTTGGCAAGAGAATTCAGGGGTGGGAAGTGGTGTCAGAACCTGGAAAAGATTTCTATGCATTTACGCTTGAACAGAAAATGAGACAATAAATATTATGTAAATGACCACAGTCTATTCCCTGGTCTGCCACTCAGGGAACCATTCTCCTCAGGGATAGAGAAGCAACAACCTCTCTCCCCAGGTCCTAAGCAAAGTCCCTGACTTCCTGAACTCCACATCTATTCCATGTCATTAAGAGGGACTTGAAGGCTTTAAAAACAGTGAGGGTTCTGAGGGGACCCCATCACTAAGCAAAGGATTGGGTAACATCTTGGGCCAGGGTAAATCTCTCAGCTCTTGGTAACAACTGTCCCAGCTCAATAAATCTCATTCAACACTGGCCCTCTTACCTGTAGTATCTTCTGTAGGCATGAATGGGCTGGCATCTGGACCTTCAGGCTCAGGTGTGGGTACCTCTCCTGCTGTGGTCTCCACCAACTCTGTAGTTGCTACCCGTACAACTGCAGTTTCAGAGGTCTCTGCAGTTAACACTTCAGGGGTTGTACCTACAGCCTGTGCAGTTGGCATCTCTGCAAATGTGGTCCCTATTCCCTCTGCAGTTGGCACTTGCACAGGTATAGTACCTATGACCTCTGTGGTTGGCACCTGCAGAGCTGTGGTTCCAGAGGGCTCTTCAGTTTGCACCTGACCAGGTGTAGTACCTACAACTTCTGCTGTAGGCACGAGCCCAGCTGTGGTGCCAGGGGCCTCTTCAGTTGGCACACGCCCCTCTGTGGTGCCTGGAACTGGAGAGGAGCCACAGGAGGTGAGAGGAATGGCAGCCTGAAGCACCACCCGAGCAGTGACCGGTCCAGACTCTAGGTAAGTGTGAGTGACCACAAGTGCCCGAGAGATCAAGGTCCCAGTACTGTCTCCAAAGTCCCAGGTGTAAGAGAGGTCAGCTCCAGACAAATAGCCACTGGGGTCATGGAGCTGGAGCGCAAAGATCAGAGGTTGATTTCTCAAGAAGTGCTTGTTCCCTCCATCCAAGGCCTGCAGCTGGGACACACTCACGGAGAAAGGCACCTGGTCTGGGATTGGAACCAGAGAGGTGAGAACCATACCTGGGCCACAGCTTCTCCTTTCACAGCCACACCCTCCCCCAAGCTGACTCATTATCTCTTCACTGGCTCCAAGCCCCTTATTCCTCTACCCAGGTTTTCCTGGTTCTGCCCCTTTAAGTTTACACACCATTTCCCCTTTCCTCTTCCAGCCCAGCCAAGCCTCTCCACCTTCTTCTCCTGCCCTAGAATTGGCCTTGCCCCTGCCTAAATCCTTACCAGTAACGGTGAAGGCTGAGCGGGACTGAGCAAGGGGCACGTAGCTCTCCGATTCCCGGCGGCGGTGGTAGACAGTTACTTCCATGGTGTGTGTGCCCAGTGCTGCTGTGTCTGTTCCAATGCTCAGCCCAGACACCGGGCCCCCTAGAACTTGCCAGTATTGGCCTGAGATTGTTGGAAAGAAAAGCAGAGAAGAGGTGAGGGTTACTGGTCAAGGAAAACTGATTAAAGACAGCACCAGAGAAGGAAGGTCAGAAGATGTATTTAGGATGGTAATTTTAGATGGTATTTGGATGGTATTGGATATTTAGATGGTGATATGGGGGCCAGGAAAGGAGCCCTAAAGAGTGGTTCTATGGAATGGGACTAATATTGGGGAGGGGCTCCCAGAAAGAACTATAAGAGAGTTGGAGTGGGCTAGGTGCTACGGAAGAGGAAGAAATCACAGGGAAAATGATCAGGAAAACTCACAGAACTTAAAGGATAGAACCAAAAGGAAAGATCAGGTAGGAGGAAGTAAATGCAAGTGTAGATGACAGGCAAGAGCAGGGAGTCCCTCACCCCCAGTCTTCCAGATGTAAACAAATCTTCTCCTTTGAGTCCAAGGGCCAGATGGGCAGGCCCTCCCATCAGGGAAGATGCAGGCATCATCAGGTTCCTGGGGATACACTGGCTGTCCTCCCCACACCTGGCTTCCTGAAAGGTAGACACAGTCACTTTTAAACCCTGGCATTCCTTTTTGTACACCAAAACCCCTAACGATGGCTCTCAGAAAGGGGCTCTGGTAATATCCCCCAGCTGCAAAGTATATTCCCCTTGGTATAATAAAAATTTGGGGTGGTAGTAAGAAGAATGGAAACTACAATTAAAGATTCATATGTATATACGTATATAGGAAAGAGATTGGAAGGCCATATATCAAAATGTTTAGAGAGATTTGCTCTAGCTAATGGGATAAAAAATAACAGCACCACTAACATTTATTGAGCCTTTACTTTAGGCTAGGGCAGGCCTTGCACTAAATTCTTTTATGTTATCACATCTTATTTTTTATTTTAATTAACTTATTTATTTCCAGAGAGGGAAAATAAGGGAGAAAGAGAGGGAGAGAAACATCAATGTGTGGTTGCCTCTTGAAAGCCCCCGCACTGGGGACTTGGCCTGCAACCCAAGCATGTGCCCTGACTGGGAATCAAACCAGCGACCCTTTGGTTCACAGGCCAGCACTCAGTCCACTGAGCCACATTAGTTAGGGCTATATTATCACATTTTAGTCCTTACAAAGACCTTTCATGGTGGGTATCATCCCATTCTATGGATAGGGGAATGGAAGCACAAAAAAGTTAAGTAATTTGCCCAGGGTCACATACTAGTAAAAAGTTTAAATCTAAGTCCATCCAACTTCTAGGTCCACTGGGCCTTCTGTCCCTCACTTGAGGGATTATGATTTTTTCCTTTTTACTTAGTCATGTTCTCTAATGTTTCTACAATGAATGTGCATTATATATATAATTCATTTAAAAAAATAAGTAGAAGGGGAAGGGGGCATTCCCTGAGTTCATTACAGGTACCAGGGAATCTGAGCCCTAGGAATGAGGCCCTGGAATAGACAGGTACTCACCATTGATGACGGTGTCATTGGCCCAGATGACCTGCCCATTTGGCAGCACCTTTTGGCTTTCAGGGAAGTGCAGGGAGATAGAGAAGGAGGTATTTGCCCCAACCAGCGTAGGCCCATCATTACTGACCTTCAGGGATACCTGGCCACCTGGGAAGGATGTTTGCATTAGCTGGGACTCCTTGGCTTCCCCTCCCCATTTACCTTTCCCTTTCTTCTCTTCCCAAACTACGTTCAACCCAGTTCTTGCTCCTCTCCCCACCCCATTCCCCTCATGCCCTCCCCAGAATTTGCCAAGTTCTCACCTCTCCAGCAGTCAGCTCCCTGGATTTCTGTCCACTCTGGATACAGCTGCTTGTTCCAGGCTCTAGTTCTGGGCTGCCTTGAGACACCAAGCCAATCCTGGTCTCTGGATCCTAAAAGGAAGTTACCATGAGGGCCCTAGGATCCTCACTCATTCTCTTCTCAGGTGATAATACTGTCCCATGTCACCCCACTCATTCATACATTCAAAGTGTATTTTAATTTACTGGATACCCACAATGTACCAGACACTATGCTAGATACAAAAGACTTAAGAAACAAGACATGACCCTGAAGGGATTCAAGATAAAGTATAGGAAATAGACATATACATAAATTACTATAATTCAAGGCACTGTTTAATATGAGCCATAGCAGACATGCATGAAGTGCAACAAAATGACAGACTAAACAGATTAGTTCCACTCTGGCAGATTAGGAAAGGCTTCAATGAGGAGCTGGCCCTTGCGATAATGCACTGCATGTATTAGACCCAGTATGAGAAGATGCATGCATGGAGGCATGGAAGCACATGGCATGATAGGGAACTAATAGCAATGTGGTTGATGCACACTGTGATAGATGAGGCCAAAAAGACAGCTTGGGGGCTCTCAGTGCCAAGTGAAGGAGTTTGGCCTTTACCCTGTAGTCAAGGCCACCTCAGAAGATTTTGTTTGTTTTATCGAGATATAATTCACATACATAAAATTCACCCTTCAGAATGTTTTGAATATGATCAGATTTGTGTTTTAGAAGGATCACTATGGCAAGCAATTAGGAGGATAGGTCAGAGGTAGGCAGGGGTTGGGTTTGGGGACAGAGCAGACAAAATTATTGCAACTGACTGAGAGTGGTCTGAGAAAAAGGGATATGATGGATCGCTATATGCCTCAACCAGATCCAACAGCTATCAATGTTTGCCACATTTTCTTTTTCTATACTTCGTTATTGTTGGTTGGGTTTTTTGTTGTATTTTTAGATTTTTTATTTTTCTTGAATTTATTGGGGTGACAGTGGTTAATAAAATATAGGTTTCAGGTGTACAATTCTATAATACATCATCTGTATGTTGTACTGTGTATTCACCACCCCAAGTCAAGTCTCCTGTTTGTTTCTTTTTAGCTAAAGTCCTTAAAAGCTAATCCCAGACATCTTGTTATTTTGATGCTACAAATTCAGTATGTATCTGTACTGAATATTCATTTTAAAAATGAATAATTTATTGAATAAGCATTATTTCACACTAGAAAATATTATCAAACCCAGTCCATATAAAATTTCATGAATATCTAAAAATAGCTTCTTATGATATAAAAAAAATCAGGGTCCAAAAAGTAAGCAGTCTTTGAAGGGCCTCTGGTAGAGAAGTATGAACAGAACGTTCCCAGAATACACTAAGGAACATAGTAAAAGAAAAAGATTTAAAACAGCAGCATGAATGAGGAAAGTCAGATCAAGAAGAATTTTCTCAAAATCTGTGAAACCAGGGATCTAGACTGAGAAAGAGGAAACTGGGATATGATGTACGTATTTCAGCACAGCAGAAACTATTCTCACTCCATTTTTAATTTGTTCTGGAAACCTAGTTAATTCTGCTGGGGGAGGATCTGGAATCATTTCATTGAGCATCCCATCACTAGAGCAAGAGAATCATAAGATGCCCCATTCTTTCTCCACTCCCAATCCTCCCTCCTCAGAGCAGCACGGGACATTCCAGATCCCCTCACCACCCCTCACCCCCACCCTCTGCTCCTGTCACGAGGCCCAAATCCCCCAGAGCACTTTCATGTGATGCTCAGCTGAGACCCCTCTGCTTGTCTCTTCCAGCCCCAGGACAAAAGCCTGGGCTGTGTCCACCCATCCTCCACCAAAGAAGGGAGGTGGTGCCTCCTTATCCTTTTTATCCAGTACTACCTTCTCTTCCTTCTCACTTTAAAGACCCTATCCCAAGTGCCTGAGACATCGTCTAAAATAGCCTCCCACTCATTTCATCCCCTTGGAGCCCCTGCTCCAGCTCACTGACCAGGGGGCCTCAGAATTATGGCCACGCAGACCCACCATCCTCTTGCCCTTCCAAGCAGGGGGGATTGTTTTCAGGTACAGTCCCAAATTTCCATGTGGGGAGGAAGTTCAGGTGCCCATGTCCTCACTAAGTCAAGTGGGTGGGAGAAGCCTGAAGTGTTGCTGGTATCTCCCATTAGAGGGGGGGAAACCAGAGCAGGTGTGCAAACCCAGGTGCACACTTACTCATATCCACACGCCCCCACACTCACCTTCTGTGGTCCCTACAGCCAGAAGAGCACCCATCACAGCCACATGGAGAAAGCATTTTTTCGGCCCCAGATCCATTCTGTCCTCCTTCCAGCAACCAAAGGCTCTGGATGGGCAGGGACAGCCCGTATATAAGAAAGGGGTGCTCATTTGCATAGTCCTTCCTCCTCTTCCTCCAGGGGAGGGCTGGGAGGGCCAAGAGAACCGGAGAAACGCAGAACTGACAAGGGATCCTGATCCCTGGATACTGACTGGGTCATTCACATTTTGACTGGAAGAATTGACTTAAGGGCAGCTACATAACAGGTACCCGACACATAATTAATTCATCATGAGAGAGAACATCAATCTGTTGTTTGAGTCAAACCAGGGACCTCTCAAAATGACAGAAACAGAAACCCTGCCTCCAAAACCAGACAGACAGTATCAGGATAGGCTGGGAGTCTGAGGCAACGACTCCTCCGAAACCCAGGAAACCCTTACAATGAGATTCCCTACTTTCTGCTTTTCAAAGGAGCCCCCTAGGCCAGGTGGAATTTAATCTCAGATCGATATACATTTTCCCTAACGGTTGTGAAAACAGCGAGATCCGGAAATCCCTACAAACTCAGAATACAAGTGAGAAATTCGAGCCCAAATCAGGTGCCTGGAAAGAGGTGGTCAGCCTCCCCACCCACGGAGAAACTTGACTTAATGCCTTTCAGGACTAAACTTGCGCGGGGCGGAGTCTTTCGGGGCTAGAGGCGCGGGGTTCGCCCC